TCTATCCGTGGCGTTTCTCAGTGCCCGACGAGCGGCACAACTACTCTCTGGCCTTTGACCAGCTCTTCAACCCCGAGGGTTTCGGCACCCGATACGGACCCTCTACTTGCGAGACACGGAGCAAGTGGTACGACGGGACGCAACGGTCGCAGTGTTGCTGGTGGAACGGCAACTCATGGCCCTACTCCACAGCCCATGTGCTCAGTTCGGTGGCCGCACACCTACGCCAATACACCAGTCAAAACCCGCGGGTAACCCGTGACCAGTATTATCAACTCTTGGAGACGTATGCCATCACTCAATACAAGGACAATAAACCATATGTGGCTGAGTGTCACTCACCGGCCGGTGATTTTTGGGTTTGTGATTCCCGGTGCGTTAACAAAATGTTAAATATTATACATGATTAATTATAAACAATTGCTTTGCCTTGTTCATTAGCAATCATTCCGAGCATTACGCTCACTCGACATTTACCGACAACGTTTTGCACGAACTGTTGGGCATCCTACCCCAAACAGATAATACCTTGATAATTGACCCGCTGGTGCCCAAAACGTGGTCATACTTTTCGGTGGAAAACTTACTATACCGGGGAAACAACATTACGGTAATCTATGACAGCACTGGCGAGCGGTACGGATCGGGTAAAGGTATGCGAGTATACGTCAACGATCACGAAATGGTTCACAAAGACACTGTACAGAGAGTTGTGGTAAACATTACACCCGTAGACACTGACCACAGCTTACGACACGGGTCGGCCAACTTCGCTGCCAACCCGTATCGGCGCGGGTATCCCCGACCCTACGCCAGCTTTACAGACAACAACCCGGGCTGTGTTTGGCAGGCAGTGGATGGCCGGATATTTTACGACTACGTGCCCAGCAATCGGTGGTCTAACTGGCAGTCGGGAGCGCCAAGCGATTGGCTGGCCGTTGATTTCGGGCGCCCAAAGGCGGTCTCTAGTGTCCGACTGTATGTCTACTCGGATGTGGTGACCGGTGAGGGCCATACCGACTGTCCAACAAAAATGTTGGTCCAGTATTATGTCAGCGATGGTAACAAATGGGTGGACGCCGAGAGTCAGACGGCCAGTCCGGCCCAGTGCTCGCCCAACGATCTCAATGTTATCGCGTTTAAAGCCGTTAACACAACACAAATACGAGTTGTATTCACACGTAATGTCGCTAAAGACTATTATTGCGGTATAACTGAAATGGAGGTGTGGTCTGAGTGGCCGTCCGTTGCGGACACCTATGAGGCCGAAGACGGTGTGATAACCGACGCCGAGTTGGAGAGATCGGCGACCGCTTCGGGTGAGGCATACGTCGGCCGATTGGACAACAAGGGGTCGTCGGTTGAGTTGAGCGGCGTTTACGTGAATAAGTCGGGTGACTATAAGGTGAGAGTGTTTTACGCCAACGCCGGCGCCCAGGACTCTGTCCATGGGTTGGTTGTCAATCAATTGCATACAATGGAAGTCAAGTATCGGCCGACAGCCGCCGGTTGGGGTAATTTTGATGATAAGACTTATGTTGATGTGTCGGTGCCCTTACTTTATGGCAATAACGCACTGGTATTTCAACATAAGGACAACTTTGCTGAACTTGATAAAATACAGATTGTTCATTGATTCTTACGAGTTAGGTATTACATTTATAAAGTTATAACGGTGTTTTTTGTTGTTGTTTTATTTTTATAAACTATAAATTTATTAAATAACCAATAAATATTAATTAAAATAATAAAATAATATAGATTAACAAATCATTTACAAAATTTGTTTTTTGTCTCATATTTTATTTTACTATTTTACTAGTAAACTATACTACAATACGTTTTTGTAAAAATAATCATTAATTAAAAAGTATACAATTTAATAAAATTAATAAATTTAAAGACAATTAATTTAATAGTAGAATATGAAACAATTTATGATGAATTAGTTTTAAAATGATTTATCATTTTAATTAATGAAAATAATACAATTAAATAGCTTATTTTTGATTTATAAACTATGTCAATTTTTCCTAATTGTAAGTGAAAAACACCTAACATATGTGAATTTTTGTATTTTATGTTGTAAAATAAGTAGCTTTACAATAAATTTGGTAATTTACCAACCTTAATCATAACCATCAAGTAATAATTGAAGGACAAATTGAGTTAATATGTGAGCATCAGTTATTTAGCCCATTGCTTCTCATAGACATTAATATTTTCAGGTGTTATTTAAAGCAAAAACGGATTATGGATTGTAACATGGATTTGTTTGGTGTGTAACATACAGTACATTAAACAGTGATAAATAAGATGTTATCTGTATTTTATATAAAGATTTAACAGTTGTTTCTTACAAATAATTCTCACAACAACTAAATTGTTTAAATACGTGATATAAATAATAGATATAATACACCAATTATATCTGTACTAAAGTCTATATTTTCCCTAATGAAATATTTTATTTAACAGGGTTTAATTGGCTAAAAATTAAAATAGCATAGTTAATGTAAATAAGTACAAAATTCCACATTGAAACAATAGTTTTAACTAAATTAAATCACAAATACATGTTATTTTCTCATACAAACGAATTTACTTTTGAGATGCTTTTTGAAAATGTGATAATTTTCTCACAATAATATTTATTTTAATCAAATGATATATTTTATTAAACACATTATAAATGAAATTTTTTTATATATAAATGAAAATTCAGATATTAGTTTAAATATATTTAATTAATTACATTTAACTAAACATAAATAAAACATGAATTTTATAACTATAACTAATTATATATTAACTATATGTTTATATGTATTAAATGTCCATGCAACTAATTTCATAAATAAATCGACAAAAGTTGCAAATTATGCCGAAAAACAATGGTTTATAGAAAACATACCATTCATTGATATACCGGACAAACACATTGAAGACGTGTATTACTATCGGTGGTCATCATTAAAACGACATTTACGGTACTTAACGGTTGGCACCGGGTATATGATCACTGAGTTTGTGCACGACGTGGGCTATAGCGCCAAGTTTGGGGTCATTAACGCCGCCGGTGGACATCATATATACGAGGCTCGTTGGCTTCGGGATACCAGCCTGGTTAAAGTATGATATCATATAAGATTTATCATAAACAAGTAAATTTCGCTTAATCTAACTAGTTTTACCATAATACTTTTAGGATTACATCAATGTGTACGCCCGGCAACTTGACAGTCAGGGCAACCACCAGTACACCGAGTGGATCGCCGACGCGGCCTATAATGCATATCTGGTTAACGGCGACAAAGATTTTATAGTCTCCCAATTGGCCAGTTTTCGGCGTACGTACGACCTCTGGGCCGACCATTTTGAGCCATCGCTGGGCCTGTACTACATATCGCCACAACGAGACGCCCAGGAATACTCGGCCGCCTCCGTACAGACTAAAGACAAATACGGCGGGGGTGTGGGCTATAGGCCGAGTCATAACTCGGAAATGTATGGCAACGCTGTGGCCATCGCACGCATGTCAGCGCTCGCCGGCGATAGAGATAGTGAACGGGAGTTCAATGATAAGGCCCTAAAGTTGAGGGCAGCTATTATTGATCACTTGTGGGACCCAAACAGACAGTTCTTTTACCACATGCAAAGGTTTGTAAGCATTATTTAGTTAATTTACTTTACATTTAATATTAATAATTACGGCAGATGTTGAGTTAATATTAAATGACAAGAGAGATAATAAACTGTAACTGTATGGTAAACTTTAATCATGTAAATATAATCTGTATGTACTGTATACAAGTAGTGTATACTGTAGATAAATATCACTAGATGTAGATACAATTATTCATAATTTGTTTGCATTTTGATCGCAAATCGCAGGGAAAACAACACAAACCACACACTGTTGGACACCCGGGAAGAGGTGGGTCTCTATCCGTGGCGTTTCTCAGTGCCCGACGAGCGGCACAACTACTCTCTGGCCTTTGACCAGCTCTTCAATCCCGAGGGTTTCGGCACCCGATACGGGCCGTCCACCTGCGAGACCCGCAGCAAGTGGTACGAC